CTGACATAACACACTTCTGCTATGTGAAGCCGTCTAGTTTGGTATATATAATTGTTCTCAACCTCAATGAGACCGCGGTCCGGTAAATTCTTTTTTGTAAGACGAGGGTCCGTAGAGGTCTTGCGACGAGCTGATCACCCGCCCAAGGAGTCCTACCGAATGTGTAAGATCTAGAAAAACCCAAGTGAATGGAGAAGTTCATGGAGGTAGGCCTAGGCCCACTGGGGCTGTAGTGCCAAGGAAAAAAAAAAAAAAAGACGGGGGTCCGGTTTCAGGCCGCGGCCCGGCGGTTGAGAAACACTTGTATATATTACCGACGTTTCATGGAATATGCTCTCATCTTCTACCATGATAATAAAGATGGCATATCTCTATGAAACGTCGGCAAAGAGTTTACAGACTACACATCATATCCCAGAAGACAATTTTCAACACATTTCTACTCCTGCTAGAGACATGAAACATTATTTTGAATGGTTATTCCAATACGTTCACCATATCATCATCATCATCATCATCATCACATGTGGGCACTACAGCCCATGATGAACCTTGGCCTCTGTTTTTACAATTTCTTAATCATACAGACAGTCGGTAGGATTCATTTGGCGGGGGATCAGTCTGTAGCAAGGCCGCTACCTACACAGGACAACACAAAGAATAAACATAGATAAACATCCTTGCCTCGAGGAGGATTCGAACCTATGACCCCAGTGTTTGAGCAGGAGAAGACGGTTTATGCCTTAGACCGTGGGCCACCGTGATCCGCACATGTTTACCATATTCTAATTAAAATTTCATACAGCTCTTCAAAGACCTTCCTAAACTTCTTACTAACGTAAAGTTAAGTTGGCCTATGTAAAGACATAAATCATGATCAACTTCCCAACATTTCGCCATGTCAAGACGCCTCGCTTACCGTTCTACGAGTCTATTAAAGCACAAGGTAAAGTCAAAAAGAAAAGTCAGTTTTAGTTTACCTAAAAACTTATTTAGCAACAAAATGGAGAGTGCGGATGAGAACAAAATGCGCCTTCCATCATCTGTACCGTTCGCTTTTCATTGCCTTTTAAATAGCGATAGTGCTATTACCTTAAACATGACAATTATTTTGGACAGTGTATATCGGATTTTGCTTTTTAAATACAGCTTTCTGGAATCTGATCTGCTCCCGGCATGGCGCTAGCGTCGTTCACTGTAACGCAGCATCGTCACAAACATTTCGTACAATAACACGTTCAGAACATTGTCTGGCGTCCTCTTTTCCTTTAAATTAATGTTCCAGAGACTGGACTCTGTCTCCATCTGAAATAAGTGCCCTGCTGAGTTTTGCCTGTAGAGCTAGTCCCTATCTCCGAACGAGATAGGGCCCGGAGATAGGGACTAGCTAGCTCTATAAATATGGGTAAACTGAGTAGGGTTCTTACTTGAGGATGGAGACAAAATACAGCTCCGAAATGTTTTACATAAAAATAAGTAAGGTAAAAATGTGATCACGTTGACCGCGCGGTCTAAGGCATGTATTGTCTTCGCCCGCTCAAATACTGGGATCGTTGGTTCGGATCCCACTCGAGACATGGATGTCTGTGTGCGTTTAGTGAGTGCTTGTGGTGTCCTGTGCGTAAGTAGCGGCCATGCGATGGGCTGATCACCCGTCCAATGAGTCCTACTCATTGTGTATAGGATTACGAAACTGAAAATGCGGCCAGGGCCCAACAAGGGCTGTAGAGTCATTGGATAAGTTAATGAAAACGGTGAACTTGTCTTTGTGTTTCATTAATTTAGCATCATGCCATAAAGACGTGTGGGTGAGTGGAGGTATAGCTCTACCCTTCTTGATCTTGGCATTAGATGGAAGTGAGTGCTCAGCTTCACGTCCCGGCCGCTTTCCCGCCCCAACAAATAATGCCCAAAATGCCAGTCGTTATATTAATATACGTTCGTCATAAATCTTTAGGTTTTAGAAATATTCGGAGTTAACTAACATTATTCAACAGTTCTTAAAATGCACCCATTTGTGATCTTACATTTTTGCTAAAGGGTGTGGAAACTACCTAAATGTACGGAACAAAGATAGCTCAGTATGACCCAGAGGAAATTTCGTAGATGGACAGGAAGATCAAAGGACACTGGAAGAATACTGGTCATGCGCGGTCTGGGTGTCCAGAAAATCATAACATGTCTTCATATTAGGAAGCAGATCAGTCGAGTCCTTGCGACGACCAGGAATTCAGCTCTGATGAAATCGCAAGTGTAACGAACATCAGTTATGGTAATATGCTGGGATAGCGCAGTCGGTATAGCAACTGGCTACGGGCTGGACAACAGAGGGGTCGGAGTCCGAGTCCCAGTAGGGTAAAGTATTTTCTTTTCTCAACGTCGTCCAGACCAACTCTGGGACGCACCCAGCCTCCTATACAATGGATACCTGGGGATATTCCTCCGGGCGTAAAGCGGCCGGGGCTTGAAGCTGACCACTGACCTCCTTATTTATAACACACAACATGATGCACACTATTAATATTCCTACACAGTTGTTGGATTGTGCTGCTACCTAGTGATACACAAAGAAAACCTATTACATCCATTACAGCTGATTTACTTCCATTTGTGACCTCTTCCTCGCAAACTGTTAAATATACGTCGAAGAATAATTCAAAAGCTACAGACCTTAATGAGACCTCTATCTCATGTTACGTAACTATATATTCTTGAATTATATACCTCATTTGGATGAGCTATTAAATATATATGTCCGCTTCATATAACTGAAGGGTCTGAACCAAAATTAAATTTCCCTGACAAATTTAAGCGTGGACCACCTAACTTCATGGCGCAGTGTCTCTACTGCTGAGTGACCCAGAAGACAGCTGCCCTACAATATTCTCTCATAGTGTAGATAATATTCAGATTTAAACCTGCCAGTCAAGTTGCAGAGCGGTAACACAGTGCTGTGAGTTGTGCAATGAACAGGCGGGATCTCATTTCGAAAAAAGAAAAAGTTTGTAAATTCAAAAGGCAACAAAAAATTCTATCGTACTTTAATGCACATTTTACTAACTAGTTAACTACAGGCCGTGCCATAGAACATGCGGTTAGTCACCGGCTTCCCACCGTGGCGGCCCGAGTTCAAGCCCAAGACAGGTGGGATTTGTGGTGGACAAAGTGGTACTGGGACAGGTTTTCTCCGAGTACTTCGGTTTCCTCTGCCAATTCTCATTCCACCGACTGCTCCACACTCATCATCTATCGTCCGGGGCTGGTACAATAGGCCAGTTAGTGGCCGACGTACCAAGTGGACTCAGTCTCACCCCACCCCAAGAAACTAAAAAAAAACAGCTGCCTAACTTTTGGACTAAACTGAATTCGCTCACCTGGTCAAGAAATTCAACGGCGTTTATAGAATACGTGCTAATATTACCGTCTCCATGGCAGTCTGCCGTTTGATCCACATGAATTAAATTAACTTCCTCATATCCTAGTGATGATATCAATATAAAATTTCACCCAGTATTTACGGAGATGAAACATACGGACGGACTGGTAGAGAGCCGAAAGAAGATGGCTTCTTCGTTATGCATTCATTTAAAAATAGACTCAAAATTGCGTGTATGTATTGTCCTTTTCTGATTGAGTACTGAACTTAAAACCGGGCTCACAAGAATTTAAACGCATGCGCAATGAATTCAATTCTCCTGCCTACGGCTTCATTATAACCTCTTATTTTATACGAAACTCGAACTGAATTTTATGAATTCTGCAAACATCGGCTGATTGCTCAAAGGATTATTGCACGAAAAGAAAATAAACGTCACTGTTTACTTCAAAATTTAATTGAAACATGTTCTTTTTTATTTGGAAAATCTATGCCAAAAACTAAGAAAGCCATTTCTCAAGCGGATAGTCGCTGGTTTGCCACCGTGGCGGCCAAGGTTCGATCCCGGATCTGGTCAAGTGGGATTTGTGGTGGACAAAGTGGCGCTGGAGCGGGTTTTCTCCGAGTACTTCGGTTTCCCCTGCCAATCTTCATTCCACCAATTGCTCCACAGCACCTTCACCTATCATCTGGGGCCGGTACAATAGGCCAGAAGTGGCTGCAGTACAAGGGACTTAGTCCCACCCCACTAGCAATAAAAAAAAAAGAAGCAGGAAACAAAGCCATTTCCTCACTCTCACGCTATGAATATTTGTGTAATTCGCTTACCAAAATTGCGACGATATGTGGAGTAACGTAAGTCCATCTGCAGTAAACGTACATGGAGAAGACAGAGGTATGTAATATCGCAAAGAAACCGTGCAGAAAACATGAGCCACTTGTCAGGAGAACACCTTTGCAATGTTATCGTAAAGTGGCTTAGAAACATTGGAAAAAAAAAATAAAGTTGTCCCTATGAGTAACGAATTAAGTACTACACCATGAAGACGTTTGGGGCAGTAGATACACACATCAGCGTATTCTTGGCATCGGCATTAGTTGGAGGTGAGCGGTCAGCTTCACGAATCGGCCGCTTTAGCTCCGGAGAAAGAGCTTCCATTACCCGTTGGAAAGGAAGCAGGGTGGGCCCCAAAACTGTCTGGACAACATGGAGAGGAGAAAATTCTTGACTCTACCGGGATTCGAACTCCGTCCGATCGGTCATCAAATCCATAGCCAGTCGCTATACCGTCTCTGCTAATCCGGCTCAATCAGTATAGCGACGGGCTATGGGCTGGACGGCTAGGATTCGATTCGCGGAAGCGTCCAGACCGGCTCTGGGGCCCACCCAGCGTCCTATCCAATGGGTATCTGGGGCTCTTTCCCCGGGAATAATGAGGCAGGGGCGTTAAGCCGACCATACACCCTCAAGTAGTGACGAGATCAAGAATGGTGGAGCTATACCTCCACTCCCACTTATGTCTTCATGGCGTAATGCTTAACTAATTAAGCACAGGAACAACTTTGTCTCTAAACGCAGGGATAAGTAAAATTAACGAGTTCCCGTTGAAAAACATGAACTTACCAGCAAAGAAGAGTCGGGGCTGGGGCGTGGGGGATGGGGATCCTGACTGCTGCTGCTGCCCTGGGGTCACGGGGACAGCGAGGATGTCGTAGTCACTTCCTGAGGAGCCCACGGCAACGAAAGAGTAAGACCCACGGGACCACGGATCCGCTCTCCACCGCGTCACAACCGTCTCCTTCGGCTGCAGCAATACAAGGAATCCATGGCTTCATTATACCTGCGTGTATATTATAATGTTGGCATAACGAGTTCAGTATTGCAATATGCAGAAGTTGGTACGCATGGACCTACAAGATGGAGGCCTCATATTTATGATGGAGACTGTGTGATTCATTCAATCATATTTATCTAACGTGCATATATGGACTGTATGATTATTGAAGGATGTTCTCACATTAACACCATCTGTTCAATCATATTGTATAACGTTCTCTCAGATAATCTTTACGTGTTGCATCCTGTTGTCGTTAGAAAATGTGTACTTGTGACACCCAACACAACAATTGTTGTGTCGCTGGTTACATATATACACTTTCTCTCAGATATACTCAAATATATAGTAATGAACTGAACGTGTCTTTATCCAGTGCAACAGCCATGAGGGAATGTAGTTTTATTCACGTAATGTAGTTGTGATTTTCAACAGAATCCATATTGTCCTTCACAACATTATGAGCTTACATATGTAAGTACTGTTCTTATATTGGTGAACATCATGTAACTAATGAAGATTTCTATCTTCTGGGATATAACCGCGTGTAGTCCGTTGAAAGTCAACTGACGTTTCGGAGTAACATGTCGCCTCCATCTTCAGGCTAGAAAAATAAACCATGTAAGAAACCAGCGTGAAAACTCTGCTTGTCATCTGTGTTCAGGCTGGACTCTTACTTGGTTTATTCTTCAGATTAAGGTGATGTTCCGAAACGTCAGGGTTTACTTTCAACGGATTATTCAGCGTCATATCCCAGAAGACAGAACTCTTCATATCCACAGTTGTGAGAACCTCAAATCCTATATCATGTAAGTAAATTAATGAATATAACAAAATCAAGAAAATGAAAGAAATCATTGCATTTAGTCACGTCTAAACAAATTCGATCCAATACAAGAAACACTGAGTAAATCTGTTCAGCAGTTTCCCGTTCTGTGTACGCTGAACCCAACTTCAGCAACACGGAAACTTCCGCTAATGCCACACATGTCACCGACAGCAACAGTTCGCTAGTCCTGTGAGACACAGATGCACTAGATGTTTCTAGCTGACTTACCTGGGGCACTGCACTGTTGCCGAAGATACCCTTGAGGACAGCGATACAGCGCCCGACAATAACATCATCACTAACATTCTCCATAATGGCGGCCGCCTCTCCAGCGACAAGAGCCAGTAGCACTGGGGCCCGGTATAAGTTCCAGAAGAGAAAGAGTTCACCTACGAATAAAAGATTCATTACGTTATCATTCCTACAAACGGGATTTCTTGACAATATTCCTCCATTTCTTCAGCTGCTGAAGATACAAGATACTAGAAGATACGAGTCTGCATTCACAAAATCCCGCTCATAGACCCTATTCCGCGGCCGGCCGGCGCGTAAGGCTGACAACTTCACCGCCAACTATGAGTCGATTGTCTCGAGAAATGTGGGAGCCTCGACGTCTCACAACCCTACGGCCTCTTACAGGGGTACCTTAGCATTAGCTTAGACTCTATTGCAGGACACTTTAATTCAGTCTACTTGCTCAGCGTCTCATCTTTAAGAACAATTTTAATTACGTCAGCTTCTTTAGTGCAGCGAACAGTTGCTATCTGGGCGAATGGAGTTCGATTTCTGGCAGTGTATATTTTTCTCTTAGCACCACCCAGTTTCCTATCCAATGGACAGTGGAGTCTTCTCTCCACGACGAAGTACAGGGTGTGTGAAATTCGCAAATCAATCCACCTACAGCAGAAATTACAAATTTGTACCGCTCGGTTTGCTCTGCCAAGAGAAGTCATATGGCCGCGCCATAGCTCAAGCGGTTAATCGCTGGCTTCCCACCGCGGCGGCCCGGGTTCGATCCCGGGTTTGATCAAGGGGGATTTGTGGTGGACAAAGTGGTGCTGGGGAAAGTTTTCTCCGAGTACTTCGGTTTCCCTTGCCAATCTTTATTCCACCAATTGCTCCACAATCACCCTCACCTATCATCTGGGGCTGGTACAATACGCCAGAAATGGCCGCAGTACAAGGGACTTGACCCCACCCCACTAGCAATAAAAAAATGCCATACAAAGGAGGTGGTTTACGAGTAAGTATTTTTGCTTGCAATTCCCGGCAGATGACGTTAAACGCAGGCCTCGACGTATCATTCGATAACATGTTGGGCCGGCAAAGGAAAAAGAGAAAAAGGAGGGCAATTTATCATGAAAACTTACATAATAAACAACGGGACTTAACGCGTGATTCTTATTGGACGTTACACCAGTTTATTGTTATTATGTCGATCCCTGTAACAGGCCGTGGAAGCCCACAGGGTTGTGAGACGTCGAGGCTCCCACATTTTCTAGACACTCGGTTCACAGATGGCAGTGAGGTTGTCAGCCTTACGCGCTGGCCGCTTTTTACCCCCAGGAATATTCCTGGTACTCATTTATGTTAGACGCTGAGTCGACCCCAGGGCCATAGTGCGGCTGGAAGGATTAGGTCAATTGCAAAATATCCACCTCATTGGGACTCGAAACCGCGACATTCCGGCTTGTATCATAGTGCCTCAAGAAACTACGCTACAGCGTGCCCCATTCAAGACTATATACGCATAGTGTGTAACAGTGAGAGGATTAGTGACAAGGGAGTTGCGAAGGGTGATGAAGGGACAGCAGTTACAAGATGCGGTAGACTGTCCCGGAAAGAGTAACGAGAAGGATGAGCCCTAGTTAGGATATCCGTGCTTCTGTAACTTGAAGCGGAGTGTACCCAGTCAGCCGTAACAATGATTGTTAACCCTAGTTAGGATATCCGAGCTTCTGTATCTTGAAGCGGAGTGTACCCAGTCGGCCATAACAACCATTGTTAACCCTAGTTAGGATATCCGTGCTTCTGTAACTTGAAGCGGAGTGTACCCAGTCAGCCGTAACAATGATTGTTAACCCTAGTTAGGATATCCGAGCTTCTGTATCTTGAAGCGGAGTGTACCCAGTCGGCCATAACAACCATTGTTAACCCTAGTTAGGATATCCGTGCTTCTGTAACTTGAAGCGGAGTGTACCCAGTCAGCCGTAACAATGATTGTTAACCCTAGTTAGGATATCCGAGCTTCTGTATCTTGAAGCGGAGTGTACCCAGTCGGCCATAACAACCATTGTTAACCCTAGTTAGGATATCCGTGCTTCTGTAACTTGAAGCGGAGTGTACCCAGTCGGCCGTAACAACCATTGTTAACACTGGGATTTCAGTTTTACTTGAGGCAGTTTCATAAGATTTGTACGGAAAATGATTTTTGACTGTATGATGTACCCGCCGTGAGATGGACTTCGATATTTCATGAATTTGTATCTGCAATATATGATCCTGAAGGTCAATAACACGGAAAATCGCAAAGAAAATGTTTAGAAAAAAAAAATACGTACACCTTCGCCAAATTGCAGACCATATTCCATTCTTCTTTCGAGATATAAAGGCAAGATAACTGCATGAGACCTGTGGAGCTCTAATGCCCCGCCCAATATACGTGGTGATGACATGGTGCTTAGACAAAGAGTCCATTTATCAGTGTTCATAAACGTACCTCTACTTGCTGTGGTGCTACCCACATGCCCAAACAGGTTGGCATTCGGATCCCAAAAGATCCGTTCGAAACAGAGCACTACTTTATTCAGGTTTCCGAAACCCAGGCGCTGGATGGCCGCCACCTTCCAGTCCGGTAAAGGCGGGACGAACTGCACAGTGTTGGGCACCCCTTGAGTATTGGAAGCGGTGCATTGTTTCAGTACTCCTAGTGGAAGTGTGCAGAGCACAGCATCTCCTGGAAGTAAACACATCCAGTCATGTCTCATCAACACATCACAGCCCCTAAAACGAAACCCATATCCAGTCAGCCTTCAGCACATCTAACCAGCATCTCCTGAAAGTAAATGTAGCGAGTCAAGCTTCACTATATCCAATGGAGCATCTCCTGAAAGTAAATGTAGCCAGTCAAGCTTCAGTATATCCAATGGAGCATCTCCTGAAAGTAAATGTAGCCAGTCAAGCTTCAGTATATCCAATGGAGCATCTCCTGAAAGGAAACGTATCCATTTAAGCTTCACTATATCCAATGGAGCATCTCCTGAAAGGAAATGTATCCAGTCAAGCTTCAGTACATCCAATGGAGCATTTCCTGAAAGTAAATATATCCAGTCACCAGACGGATCTACAGATACTTATAACACTTCAAAAGGTTATTGGGTCAATAACACACAAAGTCTTCAACACTTCCACTCTTAGATGCTCCTTGTACAAATTCGGTGAGCAGGTCTGTACCCAATCTCTTCTCTTCTGTCTTGTTCTCGGGTAGGACTCTCTAGTATCTAATCTCTTCTCCTCTGTATTCTTATTCCCTCGATCTAAGCTGACTTCACGCAGATCGGATATGACACGCTCCGTGCAACGGTATGCTTCTTCGTTTTTTGCGGTTGTCATCGAAACGTGTCTTTCGTTGCCATGTGAACAAATTTCACCTAGCATTTGTAACTGAAACGTTTCTGTACATGTTGACTAGGAATCGATGTCTCTGTCATGATGTCGGAGATGTGTTTCAACAAGCCGTTGTCTAGCAATGGATTTGTATATCACAATATTATGCATGCTGTTGCATTGAAGCATCACTCGTGCAGTTTCTCTTCCGTCTATAAAGCAACCACTTTTTTACTTTATACGGCGACAAACTTACATTCAACTAACTAAACTGACAGTTAAACTGTTATTAAAACATCATTAAATTATATTCTGTGTCTGTCTAGATGTTTCGGCCTCACAAGGCCATATTCAGGTAACACATTCTGGTAGAATCTACTGCACTGTGCTCGCTTATGTCCTTTTCCTAGCTTCGTATTACGGCTTATCTGCGCTTAATGAACACCAAATCAGTACACGGTACACATTACCAGGGGAGTGGCACACAAAAAGGGGCACAGAGAAGACGAAATGCGAAGATAGAAAAATACTACTACTACTACTCTGTGGCCTGTAGTCCGAAAGCGAACTATACCGACCGAGCGACCGCCAACCTTAGCGGAGAGAGGGTGTCACGTGGTCAGCGCAACGTATCCCCACGGCCGTTAATTTCGGTTTTCTAGACCGGAGCCGCTATTTCCTTGAAATAGCTCCTCATTTATCCTCACGAGCCTGAGTGGACCCCGTCCCAGCCCCACTACTTTTCAGAAAATCTGGCAGCGCCGGGAATGGAACCCGGGACCTCTGGATCTGTAGCCAGGAACTCTGACCACTAGACCACAGAGGCGGTCGTATTACTACTACTATGGAAACAAAATGAGACGATGGTAATAAAAAGAAGCACAAGTAAGACTCGTTATTCATCAACGGAGCCAGAAATCCAGAACAGTCACTTCTAGCAGCTAACAAGCTGACTTAGCCTCAAGTAAATGTAGTAGCTTGTGCCTCATATAGAATAAACAATTTGGATCCTATTCCACGGTGGGCTCCTACATGAAACAACACATATCGGAACCTACGCCAGGTATTTTACATTTGTGTCTACCGATCTTTTTTATCCCTTTTCGCATATCAGAGCAAGTTGATCTTTTATATACTGTAATCACATAAAACGACGTTAGCCTATAAAGTGCGGTTGGAGCGCACGAGCCAGCACGCTCGTCAGGACGAGGGACACCAATTTACCTACAGGACGGACGACATGTCACTCAGAAGGCCAATCCAGTGAAGATGATTCAGCGTTAATAAACTGAATGAATTTGTAGACGAAAAGTGGCCACTTATGCTAATTTATTAAATTTACAACATTTCACAATTAAATGAATAGCTAACGATGGCAATTATTGCATTTTCACTGACGTGAAAGACGTAACGTGGTGTGTAAACCCTGATTTACACCGTCTCTTCCTATCCGTACACACAAAAGCCTAAGACCAGCTCGGATGTCCCAATTTTGACTCCAACTGGCAAGCTGCAGTGATAGACGTACCTACGAGGTCTGACAATAAATTTCGCGAACTCGCCACCGTGTGCTTGCAGTGGCAGCAGTGCACAGAAACCTCAGTATGGTTTGATGACGCTGCAATGTCAGCGTTTCACAGCTGTGTTGTTGTTTATCTATGGCAGTCTCTGAGTTGTGCCGTCGTGAGAATGTCGGAGTTTCCTGTTAAACTTGGCAAGAGTGGAAGCGAAATAAGAGAGATGTTGGTTACAGTTTACGGGGATAATGCTATGAAGAAAACAGCAGTTTACAAGTGGGTGACACGTTTTTCTGAGGGAAGAGAAAGTGTCACTGACGAAGAGAGATCAGCACGGCCAGCAACGAGCAGAACTGAAGAAAACATTGCAAAAGATCGTCAAACTCTCTGTGAATATCGTCGGCTGACTGTCAGAAGCATTGCAGAGCAAGCGAACATCGACAGAGAAACAGGAAAATCTTAACTGAAGGTGAGGAAAGTGTGAGCAAAAATGGTCGCAAAGGACCTGCTCACACGACACTATCTGTGAGGGAGTTTTTACCTAGTAAACAAATAGCAGTGCTGGAACGCCCTTCCTATTCACAAGATCTATCCCCCAGTGACTTTTCTCTGTTCCCGAAGATAATGAAAATGCTGAAAGAGAGGCATTTTGATGACACTGATAACATCAGGGGGAATACGACAACAGCTCTGAAGGCCATTCCACAAAGCCAGCTCCAAAATTGTTCTGAAGGGTGGACTAGGCGCTGGCATCGGTGCTTAGCTTCCCGAGGGGAGTACTTTGAAGGCGACCACAGTGATATTCAGCGATGAGGCATGTAGCACTTTCACCGCGATGAGTTCGCGAACTTTATTGTCACACCACGTATGCTTCAGTCGGCATTGCAGTCTCAACGTTTGCTGGAAACGAATTCCATTGTTTATAAAGTACAAATGAAGTAAAATCGTAATTAAATTAATGCATATAAAATGGATTAAATGAGAGTTATTTGTGAAGACCGTACCCGGAGGTGGGGATTGTCTGTTTATTTTGAAGGTTCCATCCATTTCTTGCATTTCAAATTGATCAGGATACTAAGCAACTGCGTGTTCTTCCGCCGACTGCTTCAGTCAGTCACGCTGTGACTGAGATAAATGTATATCTCTATTGTTTGGCTGTGGACTGGTCAGATCCTTATTCTGAGCCAGAAAAATGCATTTTACACCCTTCTGACATATTTCTTTTGCTTCTGTTCTTCCATCTAAGCCCATATCTTCAATTTGCCTCATCCTTTCAAAATTTCCGATAAAATTTTGGAGATTATAGTGTTCTTTTGGAGATCGTTTGAACAGCTCCGATAATTTTAAGAGTAACAGAAACAAGTTTCGGATTTGGCCCCCGATTCGGGTGATAGCTGCAAAAAAATTACAAAATTGTTCTGGTATTATCTTCTCGAAACAGTTTCAACTAATTACGAAAATAAAATGTCATGTGGCAATTAAGAGGTTAAAACTGTTCTGTTCTTGTGTATTCCGTTTACGAAGTTTATTAAAATGCATATAGAAGAACGATCTAATATAAATACAGCCTCCATCTTCAGGGAAAAAGTGATACAGGAGTAATCCTATGATGTAAGTAAGCAATGCCATCAATTTTTTTCCTTGGCACTACAGCCCCAGTGGGCCTAGGCCTACCTCCATGAACTTCTCCGCTCACTTCGGGTTTTCTAGATCTTACACATTCGGTAGAACTCCTTGGGCGGGTGATCAGCTCGTCGCAAGGCCTCTACCTGTACACAAGCACAGAAAAACGCACACACACAAACTAAACATCCATGCCCTGAGTGGGATTCGAACCCACGGTCCCGGTTTCCAAGCGAGCGAAGACAGAACATGCTTTAGACCGCTCGGCCACCGTGACCGGCATGCCATCATTTCAGTATAGTTTATTCCTGCTTTAACAAACTAAGGGCGAAGAGAGGGTTAATCACGTGATATCCTACCTTTGTAAGTGACAGCATTGCTGTGATTTCGAGAGTTTGTAGTGGTGATCTCCACCCCGTGAGGGCCGTATCGGATCTGGCGTACAGCCGTGTTTAGTTTGATGTCCAGTCCTTCAGACAGCGCCACCGGTACACACGAGTAACCATTCCTCACTGAAAGCATAAAACAAACCATTCTAAGCGAGGATCTTCTCCAAAGAAGCGCGAGAACAAATGTGCGCTTATAAATGATCATCTAGAAAATTAAACATAATGTGACAAGACGCCAGAAAGCCGGAATAGCGAAATCAGAATAGCCGTTCATTGCTAGGCAACGACTCGGTAAACACATTCCCGCTGCAACGAATACGCACGCAATAATCGAGTAACTTCTGTTGCTATGCAACGACGCAGGCTTATGGCACCGTCAAGTCCATGTGTCTGCCACCCACAAGTTCTCCGTAACTTCCGGTTTGAACAACTTCTGCGTCTGGCTTACAACGAATACGTGCCGATTTTCAATGGGACACCCTGTTCAATATAACAGAGGTACTGAATGGCGTTTAAAACAACCTGTTAGTCGCGGAAAGGACTAGTAACATTCTGCAGTTTGTAAAATGACGGAATCACTGCTATGTAAAATCTACAGACCTTATGTAGGATTTTAGGGTGTCACATCGGTGGGAACGAAGAGTTCTATCTTCTGGCATATAACACAGTGCATTCTGTTCAAATTCAACCGACGTTTCCTCCTCCGAAACGTCGGTCGACTTTCAACGGACTACACGGCGTTATAATCCATATTTAGCTTTCGATTTTACGGTCGCAACTAAAGAACAGCTGGAGCTAGGTATGTGAAGTTTGGCAAGGAAATAGATTCTGAGCACAAACCTGTGTACACATTCTGTGCAGAACTGTTAAACGTCGACAATAACAAACATGGCGAAGCTGAGAAAATTTTGACGTTACGCCTGTACGTAAGTAATAAGTTACTTCTCCAATAATAATAATAGTAATGGGAGGTGGGATAAGTCGGTATTTCGACGGGGTGGGATTGATTCCCGATTCGCTTAGCGGGGGGTGGAGTCCAGCTGGGTCCACTCGGCAAGGCGGCTAATGATTGGCCTATTGTACCTGCCTCGGGTGATTATGATGATAGAGAATTCGGTGGAATGAAGATTGACAGGGGAAACCGACGTACTGGGAGAAAACCCGCTCTAGCTCCACTTTGTCCACCACAAATCCCACTTGACCAGACCCGGGATCGAACTCGGGCCGCCGCGGTGGGAAGCCAGCGACTAACCGCTTGAGCTATGGCGCGGCCTTTGATTCGTGGTTGGGGCAACCCTTAAACTGATCAGGATCTCATCTTATTAGCTGTCGGCGACTCCATATTAATGTTACCTACAGCTATGACCTAGGTTCTTTCTTCCACCCGTAATCCGCCATGTTGACAGTGAATTTGCTTGGTATGATTCCACCACGAAAAAAAAAATCCTTCAACTATGGCTATAAATTAAAAAGGACAGTGCTTACATGAAACCCAACGTTTAATTCATATCATTCCAGCAATAATGAAAAGTCGTGTTGTAAGACAATAGGTCAATAGACGTCCTCGTTTTATGTTCCTCTCGCTGCAGCGGAAAGCAATGCACTACTCGTGTAGAAAAGCACGGCCTGTCCCACGACAAGAGAGCGATAAAGCCGACGGTGTTCTGAAGAAGGCCACCATGGGCCTATCTGCATACAGTTTACTCCAGAACCCATATCTCAAGGCTGTCTCACTGGTGCAGGCACATAACTTTTATTACTGTTAGCCACACACATCGTTCTTTATAACCTACAATTAATATGTCCCTCAAAGTGCCTGAAAAAAACAAAGGCAATAAATCTCCAATTTATTTCTAAGTGAATGCCAAATCACATAATAATTATGCTTCATCCCTTTCACGACAAAACTCCGCACAATTTATAGCGCTGTAAAATGATACAAGGGAGATAAGCAAACGGGGGAGGAGGCGGCACACAAATACAGGATGTTTCAGAATAAAGAGAAAATTGCCAAGTAGGAATTCAAATTCCTATGATTCATTCTGGTAAAGGTAAAGTTCTCCCTTTGCTTAACTAATTAATCATTACGCCATGAAGACGTATGGGGGAGTGGATGTATAGATCCACGTATACTTGATCTCGGCAATGGTTGGAAGTGAGTGGTCAGCTTCACGCCTCAGCCGCTTTAGCCCCGGAGAAAGGGTCCTCGGTACCCATTGGATAGGTAGTTTGGTGGGCCCCAGAACCGGTCTGGACAACGAGGAAAAGAGGAAAATTTCTACTCTACCGGGATTCGAACTCCGATCCCTCTGCTGTCCAGCCCCTAGCCATTTTGGTAATGTTCTAAATAAACAAACAAATTAAACAGAACTGGTGGTCACAAAAACTACATTTAGACCGAACCCATCTCATGATTAAAAAATACGAGTATTTTAATTACACCACGAATGAATTTCAAATTTTAATAATTACTAAATTAAAATTAATCATATGTATAATTTTGTAACATATGACAAAGTCTGTGAGTAGCAAAACGAAACAGACCAATTAGGAGACCTAAGTATAGTTGAGAGGAGAGTGACAAAATGGAGCACAAAGAAACAGTGCATGAGATTACTGGTTGGATTCAACTGGCTAATGACATAATCCAGTGGCGGACTCTTCTGAACACAGTAAACAATCTTCATCTTTCGTGGATGACGGGAAATTTCTTGACCACCTGAGTGACTAACAGCACGAAACCCTGAAGAAACTCGCCAGCATTAGGTTAGTCTTGATTTCCTCGAAACTACACGTCGTCACAGGCAGTAATCGTCATAGTTTTTACGTAGGTAGCCCAGAGAACGATAAAAAGTCTCAAAAACACATATGAATGTTTCTGTATATCAATTTTACCCCAGTCTATAGGGGCAAACACAACACAACTACAGCTATTCTAAAAGGGCAATGCTTTTGACAGCAACATTCAATTAAAACGGAGTCCCTTTATACTATATAAAACAGAGGGCGTGCTACACCTACAGCACATAGATATATGCGCTCTACATTATTGCTATAACTCAAACACGAGGGTAGGTGTAAGGACGCATCACAATACGTCCATTTTTAATAACTAGTTCCGCTGTGGCGGAAACCAATAAACCAGAGTTGTCATTGCAGTAAATGGGAGACTTCAATGCACGGACAACAGTAGATCTAGTAGTGACATCTAGTGAACACATGTATGTTGCAAGATGGAAGATTCCTCAGCCATAGAAACAATCCTTTTAGTTTTGCTTCGACAAAAAGAACATTTTCTTGGTTGTTGTCAGAATGCACACGGTGATGTTAAATTATTCTGCTTTTCACAAAACATTCTTTCACTCTTGCGTCACATGAACAGCACTGAAACTTTCTTGCTACAAACAGCATACTTTTTGTTCTGGTCCCATTACCCAGAGCCAAGGCCAGCACAACATAAATCCTCCGCGGTCTTCGCATGCTCAAACACTAGAATCGAGGCTTCGAATCCTACTCGAGGTATGGTTGTCTGTCCGCGTCTGTATTGTGTTTATGTCGTCATGTGAAGGTAACAACCTTGCGATAGGATTGATCCACCGTCCAAGGCGTCATATTAAGTGTTTATAAGATACAAATTTCAGAAGTAGGAACTGACGAGAGAGCATAATACGTTAAGTCAGAAGAGGAAGAATTACATCGCCAGAACTTAATCAAAATCCGAGTAACTTCGTCGAGAAATGTTTTCATTTAAAAGCTGACATTTACTCAGTTGGTCACTAACCACATCCTACTCTTAAACTGCAATAAGTGTCAACATTGTGTTCATAAAACCCCTTCTGGAGCCAGTTCAGCTTGCGCCAAGATTTCATATCAAATTTCCCTACGACCCGTTTCTTTCACATCTGAACCCAGATCAGCCATGTGACCTGCTCACTTGAGGTTAACACTCCATTTGTTAGTTTCCCTCATGCGAGTTACATGTTCAGCCCATCACATCAGTGGCGCCTTATCGCGGAGAGGTTTGCTCATCCCAGCGATCCAGGGAGCTATGCTGGCGGGAGCATAAGCTCATGGTAGAGCCATCGAACCTAGACAGATCAAAATGCTGGGACCAGACGAAGTGTAGTCCCTGGTCTTCCATGCTTGGGGGCCACCAACCCGCCCTGGAAAAATTTACTGTTACAGAGGGTTGTAGAGAAAAAAGGTAAATCTATCCCTGTAACAGGCCGTGGAGGCCCATAGATTTGTGAAACGTCGAGGCCCCCACATTTTCTGGACAATCGGCTCACAGATGGCAGTGAGGGTGTCAGCCTTACATGCTAGCCGCCCTTTATCCCCAGGAATATATAGCCTAGACAAATATTTATTGAAGAATTATATTTTCTTGGATATATCGCCGTACAGTCCGGCGAAAGACAAGAGAACAGGGTAGTAAAATCCGCGAGCGAGGAACCAGCGTGAGCAGTACCCTGAAAATGGAGGAGATACGTTCCTCCGAAACGTAGTTTCACACAAGACCTACACGGCGCCACATCCCAGAAGACGGCAGTCTTCATAAATTACTCTTACTTAGCACTATTTTTTTTAATTCACTTAGTGGGGGTTGGAGTCCAGTTGGGCCCACTCGGCACGGCGGCCACTGATTGGCCTATTGTACCTGCCCGGGTGATTATGATGTTGGAAAATTTGGTGGAATGAAGATTGGCAGGGGAAACCGAAGTCCTCGGAGAAAACCCGCCCCAGCGCCACTTTGTCCATCACAAATCTCACTTGACCAGACCCGGGATCGAATCCGGGACGCCGCGGTGGGAAGCCAGCGACTAACCGCTTGAGCTATGGCGCGGCCTACTTAGCACTAAATTCGGGTTCTAAGAACGAAAGGACCGAACATGACAGTGGAATGGTTAGGGCCCCTGCTTCGTATTTATCAGATCTCTGGTTCAAATCTCTGCCCACAGATCAGCTACCCCGAATGAGATCTTCAGTAGTTTTCTCCAGTCATTCTGAGCAATTTCTCCGATAGTAACTTAAATATGGCCACCCCCACTTCAGTCCACTGTCCTCCCAGTTCATTATTCACGTTTCATCCTATCATTGGGCACTGTATAGCCTGAGCTACTAAC